TTTTTTTTGTTATTTTTGCCAATTTCCCTACTTCGAATATAATTTCATTGGAAAAAAAAAAGAAAAAAAGACAACGGGAACATTAACTATACAAACCACCTCCGACAAAAACAAAACAAAAACTATGTACAAAACACCTTCGCATTTGCCGTGTTTTAACGCCACCTCAGCACCAACGACTTGTCAAAAACGGGTCCCACCAAAAAATTCAGACAAGACAACCAATTCACTATCCAATTCACACTATAACTGGACCCCACAAAATACTACACTTGTCGTGCCACGTCAACACCCACCAAACGAATCCGCTCTTCTTCCAGAAGCAAACCGGTTCATCCCTCCCAAACCGGGCACCACCGGTTCTCCGCCGTCGAACGACGACTTATCAACGTTCTCCGACTTCGGAAGCCGGCTCCTGATGTCGTCTGTCCTACTCGGCGGCGCTGACACGTCTTTGCAGCCACCTCCGATCTTGAGGATTGCTCTGAAACTCGCCAAAAACCCGGGTTTCTTGACCCGGTTCGCTTTCTCCTTTAACGGGTCAACCCGAACCGATTTCTGACGGTGCCTACGGCTGCGTTCTCTTCTTGATCTCACTTTACCGATGCAAGAGACCTTAGGAGAAGAAGGTTCGAGCAGAGATATATCCGTCTTGATTCTTGACCCGACCCGTTTCAAGATAACCTTATTGTTCTTGCTTCTCCGGTGCTGCTTCGCCTCGTTGAAACAAGTCTTTTGTGGTTTCGGTAAACCGATGATCGAAGCCTTGGATTTGAGTAAGAAACGTTGAGAGCTCGGATTCGAGTTTGGATTGGAATTGAGAATCGTAGAATTTCCTCTCTGTGAATCTTGACGATCGAAGAAAGCGTTGTTGTTGAACCACTCGAGCTGAGCATCTTCCGACAAGAAATAAGATTCCGGTGGAAAATCAGTCGGACTCACGACGGAGTTGTTGTTGTTGTAAGGTCGAGTTGTTGGATCGTCGGAGAAGGTTGTCTCGCATGCGATCTTCCGGTCGGAACTACCGGCGCATACTGAAGAAACAAAGGCTTCAAGATCGACTTGGGGCATAGTGCTAAGCTTTT